GATTGAGGATACTTGATAGACAGATTTCTTCTGGAGGCTCATACAGTAGTCTAAGGACTTATTAATGTTCTTTCCACAAGCCCTAATGGGATTACTCTTCATGAGAGAAGGCTCATAGATACGAGCTAAGCATGTATGAGTGTATAAGCAAACTCTCTCAGTATGAATGAGTATGCAGTGTCAGCCATTCAAAGCGACAAGAGAAACAACATGCTGTCAAGAAACAAGGGAACAAGCATTAAATCAATATCTCTTATTCAGAAGAGGAATTCATTACCTTCTCCTTGATTTCGTCCTTCACTTCATCATAATTGGAAATTGAATCCATTCTCATTTTCCCTTCCACAGTGATAGCATATTCCAGATCCCGACCAAGGTTATCAATCAGTTGCTGGCAATCAAAGCGTCAAATATCAGATAGGTGCATAAATTAGATATAAATACAATCAATCGCACAAGAATGTGAAGCATTTTGCTTCAGGCATTCATTACAGACTACATAGTACTATAAACTGCACCACTTCAGAGGAAACTACAGAAAAATCAGTGACAATTGAATTGAAACTCTATCAGAAAAAATGCCCAGCAATCAATTAAGCAAATCAACGAACATTACAGTGAATAAATATAAAGGAGATAACTTGCCTGGTATGCCGATGAATCGAGTTTAAAACTGGTTGGAATGTCAGATCTGAAAACACCACTTTCAAGGCACTCTACATGCCCACCAATATATGTCTCACTTTCAAGAAGTTGATTTTGGTAGAATTTCTCAGGGTCAGCTTGATTTTTGTTGGGACATACAACATTTACCTTGTAAGCCTGTGCTGAACGGAAAACTTCCAATTAATAGAATGTGTCACACAGTAAAGATTGCTAAAGACCTTGTGGTAGATAGGTTGATACCTGAACCATCAGAAGCATTTCACAAAGGGTGCCACTCCCTTTGCGTAAAACCTCATCAGGGACCATTGGGATGATAGTTGCGAGAGAAAAAATGAACGGATTGACATATGTCATGTATAGGTAGTAAGTTGCAACAGCATCAGAGACAGAGTAGGAGGCCATTGTCTGCGAGATGATTCCCAGCATGGGATAGAAATAAGATATAAGCACCCAATTCCATGCAAATATTGCAAGCACTACAGCATAGACTAGAAAAATCTACAGTTGACCCCATTAATTGCTTGATATCTATGTCCGCTTCTAAATTTTGTGTACTGATGATAAGACAATGAATTTAACATGGGCAGAAGAACATTTATGCAACCCTTAAAGAGGTATATAGTTGAATCACTTGATCAATTCTCATTGACTGTTTGTTACTCTAGCCCATAGTATTTAACAACCAGCTCTAATGGTAAAAAAAAAACTTATGTTATACAGAAAAAGCAGGATTAACTTCTCGTCAATACCTGTGGCTTTTCCATCGCAAACCGAACCATATCCTCTGGGTTCACTTCCAGTGGATCATAACCCAGTTTTGCCTTTGTTACAGCCTGGCATTTCATTAAGAGACAAGCATCAAAATCATAATATGAATTTCTTAACAAAAGATTATGACCACAAAAGATAAATACTCGCTTAGAGATAGAAGAAGAATGAACCTTCAGACCATGGCTTCCCTGAGGAAGATAGCTATCACGTTTAACCCAAGCAAAACAATCCAAATGACAAACGAATTTAGCTCGACATTCACCTTGATTATGATCACACCGGAATCCCAATTCCTGAACCATGAGGAAAAGAATCAAAACACACCAACCAATTATGGAATTACAGTTGACCATTGCGCTCCAACGGAAGATAATAGGAATAGGATAGGAAGTGACGAGTAAGATGCAACGAACTAGGTTTTAAATGAAAAAACAGGAAGTGAAAAAATAGAGGTTTAAATTAAACAGAGAATAGAACCAAGTCCGGGAGAACGAGTGGCAGCACCTTGCCAACTCTCAGAAGACTTCAGTATTCAAATGCAAAACACAAGTCACTGAATATTTGAAGGAAGAAAATTTATCTTCCACTAAAGGAAACAATGATATGTAGAAGTAAGCATCCTCATGCAAGATAATTCAGTAGACAGTCTAGGAAGCACTTGAGCAGTGTCACTATTCTACTTTATGCAGAGGCACACTCACAAGGCCACAATAGAATGTCAGCGAATAATATAACAAACTTTTATACAGACTTTCCAAGTAGATCATATATATCCTTTTAGTCATGCAGACAGATAAAATTAAAACAAAACACCAACAAATAAAACTTTAGCATACCTCATTCATTTTTATCCCATGATGAGATGCTCTCCGTTCTATAAATGGCCAGTCAAAAAAGTCACCATTGTATGTAACATAAATACCGGGTTTCAACTCTTGCATATGGTAAAACCATCTTTGGAGGAGTTCAACCTACAAGAAAAAACCAAGAAATAACTCACCTGCACATCAATGTTTATGATTTTACATTCAAATCAGGAGCTTAAGTACTTTACCTCATTTTTAACATTAGTAACTTTGAAATACCCTTCAAATTCTGGTTTGGGTGTATATTCCAGATCTTCTACATCTTCGCCAACACACTGAATTAAGTGCAAAAATACTACATTTGTAATCAAACGAGATTGCAGTAGTCCAAATATTTTTAAGGAAAGAATAGAGCTGAGTTATCAACCAGAGTTGACATATGCAACGAAAACCGGTTAACAAATCAGAAATCATGTTTTAAATTATAGCAAAATGTTAAGCTAGTCCAAAAACAGTCTGAAAGCCACATCATACTAAATCAATTAAACAAGCGGGATAATCATATATGGATCATTTCTAAAAAGATGGCAAAGCAAGGCCATATAGTAGGTTCTCTAAATTAATGAATTAACAATCCCCATCCAGCATGTAAAAATATAATCATTATAATATCAGATCCAATACAGACAAATGTATACAGCAGTTACCTCTCTGTTAATAATTAGAAAACCTTGCCCATCGACCATGTAGGATATCATCATAATTTGATCATATTCAGCATCCGGAAACTTCAAAGGAAGCTTTGTTGTCTCTATATCGAAGGCACAAACACGGACTTCTGCGCGTTGAAGAAGATCTGTCCTCTTCTCCAGTATGACATCGGTGCTGGAAATGCTGACATTGTACCATTGCCCACTCCGCACATCTGGATACCAAGAAAACATCATGATTTTGACAATTTTGAGAACTAAACAGAAATTCTGGCTTGGCTAAACAGGATACCATTATCAATTGCAAATCGAACATGATAAGGAACATCGTACTCGCGGAGGTCCACGATAGAGTCTAAGCAATCTTGAGGACGTTGTTCTCTGCGTTCCAAGAATAAAAATAAAAATGATCTGGGAATCTGAAACCCCTGAAAATAAACTTGAAAAAAAAACTACAAGAAACAAGGTAAAGATGTAAATTTGAAAACCAACAAAACTCTTAAGTGATTTAAAAGAACAAAACTACATTGTCTTACCGTTTTCCAGCCAATATGGATTCGTATGCTTCAAGTGCATCAAATTTTGCCTGGTTTCGTTCGACGATATGCAACAGATCCCTCTTGACTTCCATCAATTGTTGCACAGTATCAAATGATATTTTTAGGTATTTTTTTTGCAGGCCGGATAGATGATTTTTCTGCTCATGAACATAAAAATGAAGAAACTCAAAAATGGTGTATCACAGAAAAAAGCTACAAAGAAATCCTAAGCGAATTGACAACTAAAAAGTACTGAAACCTTTATAACTTGCATACTATTGCACTAAAGGACAATCACTAAACACTTAAAGAAAACTAACTTTAACATCTACAGCCCATGTTACATACTAGCAAACGACTAGAGATTTCACCTAATTGATTCAAGATCACATTTGGACTTATTACTACAAGTGTGCAGTTTTTAGGTTACAAGAAGAGGATAATAACTAAAGGTTGTAGCAAATGTTTCTGATATAAGTAGAGAAAACAACAACATTAATCAACTGGTGGAAGACACTAGTCAACTAAAGAACACAATGAGGAAGCCAGACTTTAACTAATAAACAAGGTATGCTTTACTGACTTACAAGATCAAGATCCTCTTTTTCAACAATCTCAATATCAGCGACTTGTCTTTCATATCGTCGTCTCAAATAGGCTTCGACTTCCAATTCCATTTTGTCCTGTAATTCGGCATTGCAGTTTATTGACATATAAAATGATATTGTATGAGTGTTTTAATGAGCATTCAGATGATATACAAAGAGAAACTATCATACTTTCGTGGCTGCATAGAAGTAAGGGCGGAACTTGTACTTTGTCTTGAAAGAAAACCCGTCCTGAAAAAAATCCTCAACTTAGTTAACTATTTAGAAAAATGCAACAACAAAAATATAAATGTTCATCAACTTATACGCAGCAAGCTGACATAGTAATAACAGCTCACCTGAGTAACAAAGTAAAGGTCCACACAACTATAGACTTTCCCAGTATCGCGATCTTCCCAAGATGACTGCAAAACGTAGTTGAAGAACCAATCACATATAATCGAATCCGAAAACCTAATCAAATACTCTCAATTAACAAGGTTGAGTCCAGCTTAGAGTGTCGGGGAACTTACGGATGAGAATGTGAGTAACCAGCCAAGTCGGGTTTCACCTTCAGAGAAAAGCCCAAATCCGAGTTTAGATTCGAGTTCATCTTCCGCAGTGTTCACTACCTTAGGCTTCTTCGACCACCGCGTATCCTTTCGATCCCGTCTTCGATTGTCTCCGCTCATTTTGCGGCGATGATAGATTACGCGGGACAGAGAGGGACTCCTATATATGAGGGAGCTTTATTCCTGGAGAAGCTTCGAAGGCGAAATTAGTTTTAGGGTCAACAAAAGGGATTTTACTGGTAGGGCTTCGTGAGCAAAGAAGACTGTAGAGCGAAAAAATAAAAGATTTTTATCATTTTCCCGCGCTTTGGTATTTTCACCCAAATTACTAATAAACCCCTCATTGTTTGGACTCTAATTGGGTCTATGTACGAAGCCCATCTTTACCGAATTTGGATCAAGCTTTCTTACTCTGAAGCAGCCGCCGGTAAAGCTTATCCTAACTGTCAAGCTATACCTTGCGATCAATTTGAGGTTGCGTTTCAAGCGGTGGAGCTTTGGATCTCAGTTCGTACTGTTTTACCGGTGGAAAACTCTCTCGGCGGTTCTATTCACCGGAATTACGATCTTCTCCTCCGTCATCGTCTTCACATAGTCGGGGAAGTTGTTGAAGTCTGATCCTTTGATTGCCCCTGCAAAAGACAAAAATCACAAATTGCAGAAAACGATTGAAGAAAAGAAGAAGCAGAAGGTTTAGAGAAGAAGGACTTGGATATGATGAAGTCGTAGAAGAAGAAGATGGTGTAGTGGTGGGCCTGTTTTGTGTTTTTGGGCCTGCAGATTTATTTAGGCCCAATGGAGTTAATTGTGTGTGTGTGGTTAGGCTAATGATGAGGGCAAGTGTGGAGAAAAGAGAATTAGAGTTCCAAGAGTAATTGGGTGGCTCTAGCTAGATGATGTTGCGTGTCTTAGAGAGTCATGAGTATGTTAAGGCATGTGTGGTTGTGCTTTTTTTTGGGTGTATTTAAGTATTTACAGAGAAAATGAAAGAGATTTGATACGAGCAAGCTACAATGAGAAAGGCTTTAAACGAAAGACTAATGGTGAAGCCCATAAGGCCCAATAAGCTCCTTCGATGTCGTATCACAAGACTAGTATCGACTTTGCGCACGAGAAAGGAACCAGCGTGCTTTTCAAAGTGCTCTCTGCTTTCGCCTTTAGGGGGGGACATTAGTTTGACGAAGATCGAATCAAGGCCGAATCACAACTGTCCGATCAGGCTCGTCGATGATGCAAATGTCGGGAGCATTTTGAGTTACAAGTTTTACGTCAACTTCGAGGTCTCGATGGCAGAGGCGCGTGCTCAGAACGCGCTTACCGAGGTTCAAGAGTTTACATCGTTCGTTCTTGCGGGTGCTGGGGAGTTATCCCCTGGATATGACTCCTTGGTCACCATCAAGAAGGTTTGGGGACAATCATTCATTATAGTTCCCTGGTTGGTAAAATGCAAAATGTCTAGTCTTTTTAAACTATAAGAAAAGTTGTTATAAATTTAAATGCGTCTGCCGGGAGTCGAACCCGGTTCTATTGCTTGGAAGGCAATTATCCTAACCGCTGGACTACAGACGCGTTTTTGTTTAAATTTACACCTCGTAGATTTTATATACGCTTTGGGAGTGGAGGTCAAAGTGAAAAGGATTTTAAAATACATACATATTCATATATTATTACTATTAACCAATTTAAGTTTTCAGATTTTTTTTATTTATTCTGTTAGTTTATAATGAAACTTTAAAACTGTAATAAAGTATTTAATATACAAATTGATTTATTATTGTTATTACCCAGTTTTTATTTTCAGTTTGCTTTTTTATTATGTTTGGTTGTGTTGAAAAATTTAAGATTGTCTCCAAAATCTATTATTTTGAAACTTAAAATTAATTTTATTTTTTTGTTTATAAATTTTATTATTAAAATGGATTTGCAGAAAATTTTAAAGATTTTGTTTCCAATATATTTTGAATTCTCCATTTATTTTCTTATTCTATCATAAATTAGATTCTTTTAGAAAATAATCAACATATACACATGTAATTATGACTTCATAAATCGTTTGACGAAATGCTTTTTAAGTAAAATATGATATGATAGCAAGTGTGTTTTGAGGACTTATAAAAGTGAGTAATTAAAGCATTGAGTGGAGAGAGAGAAAGAGAAACAAAGAGAGCGATAAAGAGATGGGTGGGGAAGGGATATCATCAGGAGATATAGAAAAAAGAGGGGAAGAAGTTGATGCTGGTTCTCTCTTCGTCCTTAAATCCAAAGGTATGTATTATTCGGAATCTTATACCGGAAGTGAGATGAAATCTAGAGTAAGATGTATCTTAACGTATATTATATATATTACCATAAGTATAACCCATTTGAAGAAAATGATGATGGAAACTAGGGACATGGTGGCACTGCGGATTCCACTTGACGACGTCTATAGTGGCGCCGGCGCTACTGAGTCTACCGTACGCTTTCAAGTTCTTAGGATGGGTTGCCGGAATATCCTGTTTGGTGGGAGGAGCAGCCGTCACTTTCTACTCGTACACCCTTCTTTCTTTAACACTCGACCACCACGCTTCCCTCGGCCACCGTTACCTCCGCTTCCGTGACATGGCTCACCACATCCTCGGTAATTCTTTTTTCTTTATTTTAACCTTTGCTCTTTACTATAATCAAAGCTGCAATAAATTTAGAGAATTTCATTTAAAATTGAGATGTAGTTGTACGTAGACATACGTGTCTATATGAACTTCTACGTAATAATTGACACACAAAGTACCACTCCGATAATTTCATCCACACAATAAAGGAAGGTACATGTCCTTCGTAATAATTTGTTTGAACAAAAAAAAAAAGTGAATTTATGTGTAACAACGCAAAATGGAATACTTAAAAATCTCGTTTTTATTATGAACAACGGAATTTTAAACGGCAATTAGTATATCAACTTTCAGTGGCGGAGGTAAGAAGGAGGGAGTGGGGTCACATGACCCCTATAAATTTTATATATTATTTATTTTTAGTGTAAATTTGATTGAATTTGAGGAAATATTTGGTTAAAATTAGTGTTTGACCCCTATAAATTTTTGTTCTAACTTCCAAATGACCCATTTAATTCATATAATTTTTTAATTTATTGTTCATCATAAAAATTTTATATTATTTTGACCCTTATAAAACTTGTTTCTAGATCCACCAGCTTTTGTTCGTGTTTCGTTACTATCACAATTAAAGTATTCTGTTCGTGATTTTGGTATCAATTATAAGAAAAAGAAACTAATCATATAAAATTCATATTATAGTGCTTTTTATGATAAGGCTTGATTCGGTTCAATTTTATCGGGATCCGGATCCGGATCAAAAAGTTGACCAATTCCACTCATATCGATTTTTTAGATTCAACTTTTATACGGTCTTGTTTCCGTGTCTCTTTCCGTGTCTTGTTTCATTATTGATGCAGAATTGAAACTTTGTCTTTCAAAACTAATTTCAACTTTTTTAAAAAACTACGTGTCAGAAGAATATCCATAAAACGTTGTGTGCCGACCAAAATTTAATCATATATATAAGTAAGGTTGGATTGCTTCGATCTGCTTTCAAAAGTAGAATATTCTAAAATTTCAGATCCTACATAGGATTCGGATCCAAATCAAGATAGTTGCAGTACGACTGCTAAGGAAATCCACATGCCAATAAAACTTTCAAAGTCAGTTTAACGTGTATATCTATGCAAAACCATAATATGATGAGAAAATTTTGATTCTATAATGTATTAATTAATGTGTCAAATTCTAAAATGTAACCAAAGTTTCATTGACCTTCAAAACAAAAACAAAATTTTTTTACTGGATAATTCTGTTTTAGTAGCTAATTTGAAACTAAATCCATTTTGCATCGATTTGGATTGATTTCGGTTTTAGTTTTCGTTAGAGTACATCACTAATTTGAAGGATTTAAAGAACTCAATTTGGCCCACTTTTTTCGTGATTGTATACAATTTTAATTAGTTTTTAGAATAAAATAAAGTTTGATCCAGTTTCTAGATGTTTGCTAAGTTAAGATCAGTTTGGTTTGCTCTTAACAATTCTCGCGCGGGGTGTGTTTGATAAGGTCCGAAATGGGGGAGGTACTACGTTGGACCAATACAAATGGCGGTGTGCTATGGTGTGGTTATT